GAGCCATGAATTGTATTATTCTTAACTGAGTCACAGTTAACACATTATATGCATTAAATACCTTTAGAGAGATTTTGATTTTTGTAATCGATGCCCTTGGGTTTTTAAAAAAATCACAATAATGCTTCTCTAAATGACTATTTTGTTTAATTTTATAGGTGGCTACAGTCAACGCCTTCCCAATGCAAGTGCTCTGGGGAAAATTTTTACTGCTTTGCCTCTTGGTAACCCCATTTATCAAATGTTGGAATTAAAACTAGCCATGTACATTGATTTCCCCTCACATATGAATCCTGGGATTCTGGTTACCTGTGCAGATGATATTGAACTTTATAGTATTGGAAAATCTGAGTTTATAAGATTTGACAAACCTGGCTTTACTGCTTTAGCTCATCCTTCTAGTTTGACTGTAGGTACCACACATGGAGTATTTGTCTTAGAGCCTTTTGATTATTTAGAACATAGAGACCTTGAATATGGGTCCTGCCATCGTTTCCTTCATAAGCCTAGCATAGAAAAGATGTACCAGCTCAATGCTGTGTGTAGACCTGGGGGGTTTTGCCAGCAGGACTCTGCTGGGGGTGACAGTGCCTACTTGAAATTAGGCTCTGATTATGTGTACACAGATAGCCTGTTTTACATGGATCACAAATCAGCAAAAAAATTGCTCGCTTTTTATGAAGAAATAGGCACACTGAACTGTGAAATAGATGCCTATGGGGACTTTCTTCAGGCTTTGGGACCTGGAGCAACTGTGGAATACACCAGAAACACATCAAATGTTACTAAAGAAGAGTCAGAGTTGGTGGATGTGAGACAGAGAATCTTCCATCTTCTTAAAGGTACCTCACTAAATGTTGTTGTTCTTAACAACTCCAAATTTTATCACATTGGGACCACTGAAGAGTATTTGTTTCATTTTACTTCAGATAGTAGTTTAAAGTCAGAGCTGGACTTACAGTCTGTAACTTTTAGCATCTTTCCAGACATATCAGAACATTCTGGTAAAACCTGTATCATCCAAAGTATACTGGATTCAGGATGTTCTCTGGCACCCGGCTCCGTTGTGGAATACTCCAGATTGGGACCTGATGTTTCGGTTGGGGAAAACTGCATTATTAGTGGTTCTTGCATCCCTGCAGAGGCTGTCCTGCCTGCACGTTCTTTTCTGTGTTCTTTAAGCTTGAAGATGAACGGATCCCTAAAATATTCAGCTATGGCGTTTGGAGTGCAGGACGACTTGAAAAAGAGTGTTAAAACACTGTCAGATATAAAGTTACTTCAATTCTTTGGAGTCTGTCTCCTGTCGTGCTTAGATATTTGGAATCTTAAAGTTACAGAGAAACTGTTCTCAGGAAACAAGACACATCTGAGTTTGTGGACGGCTCGCATTTTCCCAGTTTGTTCTTCTTTGAGTGATTCAGTTACAACATCCTTAAAGATGTTACACGCTATTCAGAACAAGTCAACCTTCAGCCTGAATAGTTATAAGCTATTGTCCATTGAAGAAATGCTTATCTACAAAGATATAGAAGACATGATAACTTACAGGGAGCAAATTTTTCTAGAAATTAGTTTAAATAAAAAGCAATTTGATTTAGAGATGCCTTAAATTTTATATACTTATCTTTTCTTTGAGCAAGATTCCTAATTTAGTAGTTTTCTGTAGGAATTTTTTTGAAAAGAAGTGAATTAATGAAAACTGTATAATTAGTGTAACAATAATACAAAAAGGTCATTTTTTGATGGAAGAATATTTCAGGACTAAATTCATAAAAGGTACTTTTTAGATGTTTATCACATTCCATATTCATTAAAAAATGATAGATTTATGGAGCATTGTTTTGTTCATATAGTTAAATAGTTTAAGAGGAAATTTTCTAATTTTTTTTTTTTTTTTTTTCTGGCCGGGGCTGGGTTTGAACCCAGCATCTCCAGCATACAGGGCCAGCACCCTACTCCTTTGAGCCACAGGTGCCTCCCTTCTAAATATTTTTAAAGAATTTTTCCATCCTCTTTAGGTTTTGGTTCCAATTACATTTTAAATATTTTTTAGCAATTATCTCCTCAAATGTCATTCTATTTTGATAAATTAATAAAAATGGCATGTTTAGGGTTTCAGAATGCTGGAGGAATATTATAGAAATAGTTTTTTTAGAAATTTATAGCTGACAAGTTGAGATGGAATCAATGCTTAATATATTGTGGTTATTTTGGTTGATAAATAATTAGATACAAAGAATTCTAAAATTTATGGTAAAGATTTATTGATTGATCTTACCTAAATAAAATATGAATACACTTGAGTATGTGTTTGTATATCTTATAAATTTTCTCCAAATCTCTATTCCATAGGAAAATACAAACATATACACACACTAAACTCATGTTATATGTGGGGAAGGTGGTAAGAATGAATTGAGATTCATTGATATTCACTTCATTTCGCTGTGGACCAGACGTTCTCAAACTACGACCCGCCAAGGACATTTATTTGGCCTGCCCCCACTACCTGTCTTGCTTAGCAGCTGACTCTTCCCGGGCCCCGCAGTCCAGCCCTCCAACGGTCTGAGGGACAGTGAACTGGCCCCCTGTTTAAAAAGTTTGAGAACCCTGCTGTGGACTTTATTTCATCATTTCCTATTATTCCCTCTAACACAGAACTGTTAAACTGGACTGATTTAACTTCAGTTCTTATTTTCTGCCCACTCACTGGTGACATTGACAGGCAATGATTAGCCAAAAGGTAGACAACTGGATTGTGGCAGAATAGGAAAACTGAGGTAATACACACATGATTAACAGCTTCAAGAAAATAAACATGGGCTGGAATCCCAGATTAAGTGTTCCTGCTTTGTTATACACATATAAGTAAAAAGTCTTCATATCACAATCTAACAATTAGGTGATTTTCAAAGAGTTTCCTGTTTTAAATTAACATGAATAAGTTGAAATAACTTGTCTGTGCCACTTTTATTTATGTATTAACATGTCAATATAAAAATGATTTGTAAATTGGAAGTAACTTCTCTTGGAATCCTTCAATTATGGGGGGGTATATATGTTTCAAGTTTCTTCCAAAGGAAAAATAAAAATAATTATTACTGTTTAACATTTATTGATTTACTTACAGAGCTTTCAGAGGATGCTATATATTTGTCATTCATTAAATATTCAATATGTAATTTTATCTAAAGTGCCGTCAGTTATAAGCATCACCATTATTTTGGGTTCCCAACTAAGAGAAAACACTACAAATAAAACATGATACAGTACTTTGTTACTTGAAATAGATATTTATTAATTGGAGATTTTTTAAGATTCATTTAAATGTAGATTTGTATCATTTAACCCTGTTTCATATTCATATAAGTCAACAAAAAAGTATAATATTTAGATATTATCAAGATATTTCTGCAACTTTATATTCAGAGTAGAACTCTTTGGAAGCACTTTCAACTCAGACTTGTTGATTTCCTTAGGTCCACCCAGTACCATCTTCTGTGCTATCAAAGTTATTGGTAAAGCTGCCTAAGGGTACGCTACCACACTGCCATCTGAGTCTTTCACCAAGCCACAGACCCAGATGCCGGTTCTACAAGTCTTGCTGCTGATGATTGACTATTACATTTGACAAATCTCGATTTCTTTTATGCCTCAGTTTAATCACATGTCCCTACAAGGTAAGTAGCTTCTATTCAAAGTCAGCAGGAGATTTCTGGCTAATTGATGTCTTATTAAGATGTCAGTATGAAAATAATTATTTGGTAAACCAGAAGTGACTTGTCTGCAACCCTCAATTACAGTATTATGTGTGCGTATGGTTTCTCTTTGAGATTCTTCCCAGGAGGGAAGTAAGTGGTAGCCATTGTTTAGCATTTATTTACTTGGCAGAGTGTTCAGAGGATGTTACGTGTTTGTCAATCATTAAATGCTCAATACTATTTTTCACCTAATCATAATCCTTCACCATGCCTGGACTCTAGTTGCTTTGAAATATCTCTTGAGATACTATCTGTTGCTTGAGGTGTTTTGTTAGGTGTGTAGTAGCACATAGGTACTACCAACTGTACATAACTGAAATGACCCAGTTATGACCAAGTTCACATATTAGGAGATAAGTCTGTAACTATTGCAGTCTGGCCAGTAAGTATTAGAAAACACAATCAATTGTATAATACTTTCTATTGTCAGTGATGTTGACATGTGGGAAAAAAGTGAATTAGGGAACGATGTACCTTCAGTGTCTGTTTCATCAAAAAAGTCTAGGAAAAACAAAAATGCAGGGATTCTTTAATCCCTGAGAGTTCAGAGTGTCCCAAAAAGTTATCCATGAAGTTGCCATACACAGGGAAAATGGGAAATTGTAGCTAAATGCACATTTATTTACAGAATATCCATTACAAAATTTTACAAAGGTACGTTCAACAATTAGAGAATATTTTATAAACATTTTGTAAAATTTAAAGGAACTGGTTTGTATATAAAGGTGTTTTTAACTATAATTTCCCATTTTCCCTTGTATAGCACCTTTATGGCCAACCCCCTGTAGTGTATATGATGAAAAAGGTAACAGTATTTTTTATAATAAATGACTAAATTCTGTGATAGTCAACAGTTTTTTGGCCTTTGAACTTAGTTGCCCAATGAAAATTCTGGCTTTTTAATTTTCTGAAATTTATCAGCAGTAAAAAAGTAAGGCCTACATGTATGCCTTTGAAATTAAACAAGTCCTCTTATCGTTTTTTATTCTATAAAATCATGGCACTTAAATATTATACTCATGTTTATAAAGACTTTCTATTGTAACTATAGAAACTTATTAATAATTATTATTAAGAAGATCATGGAAAAAATCTAGTATTTGGTAATAGTCTTACATCCTTTATTTTTTTAAGTAAAACAGAAAAAAAAAAAAGGATCAGTGTATACCGAGTTGAAATAAAGCTTCAAAACTTCAGGTGATACCCTGGAAATGGCAAAAATTTGATAGTATGAATCTAGCATTAACTTGAAGGTCCTAGGGTGATTTCTTCATCTTCTGTGGTTAACCAGTACTCCAGTGATCTAAAAAGATTACCAAATTCAGCAATAGAGCCCAAACCAAAACTTTGCTGGCTAAAAAAATGTAGGTACGGCTGATACTTAGCTGTTCAGTCTATACAAAATCAGAGACATCCTTCTTCATATGCACCAGAACTCCCTCTAGAGTTGAACAACTTGAAAGGTCAGATTAAGGCACTCCAATCTAGTCAATGACCAAGATGGAAAAAATGAGAAAAGTGTTAATATGCACAAAACTGAAGGATTTCAGATGCTCTATGTGTTGTCCAAACCAAATCTTCTGCATCAAGAACTAAATTGTCCTTATTAAAGAAAGGCCTTTTAAATTTACTTAGCACAAAAGAAATAATTGAAGCACCCATTATCTACTTAGTTTAACTTGAATCTTCTATGCCTGTAAAGTTTTTTGTGCCAATTTCTGTTGAGGTTGAGGAAGTCAATTTCTATTGTTTATACTTTGTGAAACTGTATTATTAACGTTCCTTGTGTTGAACTTTGTCATGGATGGTTTTATGTTTTCTTTCCATTACTAATATGCCAAACTCTAAATAACATACTGGTGTTCTTTGCATGCAGTATGGGAACTGAAGACCCTATTCTTGGCAGGAGAGGGCACACCCAGAAAAAGAAAAAATTAAGAAGTAAGCTGAAGGAGTCAGAACAAAGAAAGGTCAGGTTATTTACCTGTTAGCCAGCCATTGCTAAATTTCTTATCTGAACAAGTTTCAGGCCATTCCTGAAATTCTGGCCTAATGTGGATACAGGTTACACAAATGCCCCTGCTGAGGCTGTGAACACCCTGAGGAAGTTAATGGTCATAAAAGAGATTATGGCAAGACCTAAAAAAGATAGGTCTTTTAGGTCCTTTCCTGCCCATTAAACAGACAAAACGGATAACCATGTGGTGATTTGCATTTGGCTGGGGCAGAGACCAAGAGAATAAGCTGGAGCCCTGAAATATGAGCAGGAGGGTTTACATTCCTTATTGTGGAGGAAAATCCTCTGTGGTGGTGATGAGCTGAAAATGCCTGTCTCCCACCAATTCCTCAGAGACATTGGCAGTGGCATTTTACTCCACAGTGAACTAGTGGCATTTTACTCCACAGTGAACTAGCAGAGTTTAATACCTCCCTAGGAATCTGTGATAGGAGGCTTCCACCCACAAGGCTCAAGCTTCAGATTCCTCAAAACTGCTCAAATCCTTGAAGTTAATAATAATAATAGGAGCTGACATGCTCACTTAGAGAAACCACTAGTGTCTTTTTTCCCTCCCTCAGCTTACCTCCTGGGCAAAGAGATTTCAGTAAAAGCTGAGTGGAACAGAGAGACTCAAAGCCGCTTGCGGGAGCCCACACACTGGCAGTGGACCCCTAAGCTCCCACCTTTGAAAATTCTATTCTATGTCTCATGTCTGAACTCTTTACCATCGTTCCTAACTTTTTATTTCTTCAGTTGGTCGTGCCAGTTCTATAGGTCTTAAGGGACCCTGCCCCCGAGGCAGGAACCCGACATTCTTCATGCTCCCATTTGTTGGTATACACAGACATTTTTGATTAGGTTTTTTACTTGCAAT